TCCTCTCCCTCGGTCCTCTCAGTGGCCGTGTCTCCACTGCAGAGTAGGACCACTCGGCAATGTCATGAGTTTCGATTGCCGCATAAGTGATACTCATTACGCCAAACCCATTTGTTTATTTCACGGTCGTAACCGCTCCAATTGTTATGGTCTTTGGTTTCATTTATTGTCCTGCTTCAATTTTTAAAACTTTTCACGGCTTGTTTTGGAGTGTGATGAATCCCCAGTGCTTCGAGGTAAAGCTGATTTGTCTTTAATATATCTTTTCATTTTGCCGCGATGCCTCAAACCCAGTCTGAATCAATGCTGTCAGTGCTATTGTTCGCTGTTTCCAGTGGTGTCTGCTAGGCTAATGCTGCTGGGCTGCTGCTGAATGCCAGTTGTTTTGCTGCTTTTCGCTGGCGTCTGAGCCTGCGCTAGCTTTAGCCAGTCAGCGCTGGATTAACCTCTAGTCCCACCAGGGCCCAACGAAGTTCCTAGCATGGAGGAGGGACTCCTCCTTGGCCCCCTAAAAGTTCCTGTAAATGGCTCTGTGGGGAAAGTTCCTGCAGTTGAGACACGCACTGATGGGGCTGGCCCTGGAAAATTACCCCGAAGTTCCTGCGGTGGAAACGTGGCTAGTGTAAAATACAAAGGGCCTGAATGCTGTTGACCTGAATCTGGAAAAACAGCAGAGCCACACTTGTTGTAGATTATCACTCCTGCTTTGCTACTGTTGGTCTTTCCATCATAATCGGTCATAGACTACATCAGATCAGACTACAATCTACTATGTCCCTCGATCAATGCGACCGTACCCCTGCGTGCTTTGTATAACACAGCAGTAACGAAGGACAAATGTATTGAATCCCTTGGTCAGCGCTCGTACCAGTGACCCAGTTCAGGTCCAGATCTGATTCAGTTGTAGCTCGCATGACGCATGGGGCCACTCAATCTTTGGCAAAGAGAGAGAATCGGTTAAACCACTACCACGCCACTATTGTGTTTGCATACATATCCCAAATGGACTTTGTGAAAAGCCACGGGACCAAAATATGCTGCTACAAAAGTACTAATGTTGACTTAAGACAACATTAACAACCATTGCCATTTTGATTTATATTGTTATTTCACATCTTAGAATTTCTATAGGTCCAAAAGCAGTTTTGAGAGAATGCTGCATATTGAGTATTAACTTATTCGATATACAGTGAAATACAGGGTTTGTGGTTAGACATCCCATATACAGTGGCCGGAAGAAGTATCTCAAGTGTTTTATTTCTGCTTAGAATCACCACCAAATACGAATTTTCAGTGTCTGCTTCAAATAAAAAATTTAGTTAAAATTTCCCAAATTCGGCATCTTCCAATAAAATTGTCCTTCTTGTAATGCAGCAATTTGTTGATTTTCTTTTAAACGGTTTAAGGAATAGCTAACCCCGCTTATGTCCTGAAAAAGTAGCTCTCCAGGGTAGGTTTGAGGCCCCTGATTTTTTATCACTTTGCCCGAATCCATCATATTTTCTCTTCCGCTACAAGAACATTTCGGGTAATATGTGAAAACTTGAATCAAAATGCATTAGTTTCTCTCAGTAGCAGTAATCAGCAGTGTTTCTGTCCCCAGTTGTGCAAAGCGAGGCCCCCTATGGGACGTGAACCTCTCTCTCTATATAGCGTTACACGCTCACAGCCGCAGATGCCTATCTCTCCCTGTTCTTTGACGAACATTATTGAGCCGGTATGATTTCTGTGTTATGCAGAGATAAAGGATGAGAGGGAAACATGGAGATGAAGGCAAGTTTGAACAAGAACTGACTGACTTGTGCAGTGTTTTTATAAGACCACTACCACATAATTACTTGAAACACATTTTAATTAACAGGATTTTGATAACCCGTTGGATTAAGCTGAAATATGGTAATAGTCTCTAAGAAGTAAAACGTGTTAAAAAAAGATTGTTAAAAAAAGTACTAAAGAACTACATGGAGGAAAGGGCAAGTATCTCAGCACACAGCGAGAGATGGGGAAGAGGTGTAAGGTCAGAGAGTGTTTAGGCTTGAGCAGGGGCTGATGATGCCTTCTTTCTATCCAGGCCAATATGCTACCATTGCAAGTTATACCTCATCTTAAAGGTAATCTTATCTGGAAAATAATCACATCATGTATTTAACTATAAAGAACAATCTCAAACCACAATTAGTGTGCCTTTTTTAAATTAATGATGATTTAATATAAATCAGTCAATAATTCTCAGCAATCTTGTCAAGTTTTAATCCAATTTATGTGACAAATCTACTTTTGTTCAGAGAAACAAACAAGAATATCCAGAGTCAATAAAAAGTAATATGTTCGAAGTACTTCCACAATGTATGCAGGGGGGTTCTGCTTCGTTCAACTCCTTTTCAAACTGTGTATTGCTGTTTATTCACTCTTAATTAAATATTCTATTGCAAATGGATTAAGTTATTTTTATCTCTGTCATAGAGCTCGGGGACAGTGGAAATTAAGCCATCAGTTCCACTACAGAAGGAGTTGCCCACACACAGTGTTCAGGAGAGGACTTTGGCAGGTCTCAACAAAAACTCAATTTAATGCCAAGTCGTTCTAACACTGTGTATTTTGTTTAATTACAACAGCTGTTTGTGCTGTGAGACGTTTTTACACAAGCTATATGATACAAACCAATTTGACAAAACTAAAAACAGTATAGTTGTCACATGTCCCAGCTCCACTTAGACTCGCCTTGGACTGTATCAAAATCTGGAAAGTTCTGGGCAACTTTTTATCAAACACAGCTTCAGCAGACTCTCTTTCTCTGTAGCTTTTGGGCCAGTTCCTTTTCATTACAATTGCCTTTACACAGTCTCTGATAACAAAAAAGATTAGTGCTTCAATATTTGAAACTTCTCAAGGACAAACATACTGAAATCTAATATTTTCACACATTTTATGTCCAATAGAAAATGAACACAATGATATTCTGTATAAGTTACTTTGAAATGCTTTGAAATGAAATGAAACTTCTTTCCTAAGCTATTATTGATTTATTTTTGGCTTATTTCAATAGTTTCCAAAGGACAATCTGTTTTTCACTGCAATGCTTTACATTAAAACATTCGGTTCCATACAAATAAACAAACACATTGGCAAACATACATCTTACACGTTTATGACGACCTGTAATCAATAAAGCTTGAATTCTATAGAGTACTGGTTGTCAGACATGCATCCATCCATTTTTTCCCCCTTCATCCATTGCCGGGTTGGCACAGGCAGCAGTCTAAGCAGAGACGCCCAGACTTCCCTATCCACATACACTTCCTCCAGCTCATCCGGGGGAACCCAAGGCGTTCCCAGGCCAGCTATGAGACTTATGCCGCTTTTCCACAGTAACGGTGCGCTACGGCACGGCATGTCACGGTTATTTTGCGCACGCTGCACCGATCTGATATACTACCATGATCCCATGAGTATCCAATGGAGTGTATAGCGCTAATAACAAAAGTTGTCAAAAATGTCTTCAAATATTTCTGGTCACAAAAGCAAGTATTCTTGTTATATACATATTTACATATCCTCAAAATGGCCCCTATGAACATGAGGCCAAAACGCGGCTTGAGCCACAAAAGACTTGTACAGCTACTGTACATGATTGAGAACCACAAGGACAAAAATGTAATATTTGAAAAAGCAATTCATAGAATGCTGCTTTGTATTGTTTTTTATTTTTATTTTTTCTATGTAAATGTCTTACAATAATATCTTCATACATAATGCAAACCTGTGCCGCCAGTACATGACTTGCAACTTGTTATTCTAAGTGTGATTGATGCAGCTGTACTTGATGATGAAGATGATGTGTTTGGGGACTGGACCCCGTGTAAAGTGTGTTTATATTGCCAGTGGTTCGGCCGCCTCCTCTCCATGACCCCGTTGCCTCCGGCTCCTCTCGGTTTGAGCCGCAAAGGGCAGAGTTTGGAGGGCGCGTGTCATTTTCATGAGCAGTGGTGCATGATGTGAATGAGTCAGAAATCTATCACAAAACATCCACTGTGACCCATTTTAAGATCATCCAAATAAATGTCTCTACTCTCTACTGTACTATACTACGCAAGCAGTAGGGTGGATTTGAATGGTCACTTTGATCTGTTCTGCAGCCAAGCAGGAGGACATTGTACTACAAGTCTACAGGTTAAGACTGAACTCGCTTGAGGAAATGGGTGGAGTCTGGTGAGCTCCTGCTTTATATGCCACGTTTATCCATGTATTTTCTACTTTTATTTATTATTTCACATTCTAAAACATGAAAATAGTAAGGACAATGCTCACAAGTTCACAAGGCAGAATGAGCACAAATGATGCACAATATTTCCATTGCAAATAACAATTACTATGAATATGTTGTTTTAAATCTGTTGTTTCAGTCGGTCAGCCAGGCCCACAATGCACATAGTTTGTTTTTGCTGTCGTAACCAAATTGCCAAGTCATTAAGTTCCAAACATTGAACATTATCCTATTGAACTCACAAAGGAGAGGAAACCAAAGGGGGAAGTCAGATTAGAAACAGGCGTCATGGAAAAGCTCAATTTCTCAGCCTATTTTTGCACCGCTATCCTCTCTGTGTCCTCTCAAAGTTACCTGTGTCTTTCTAAATGTTTTCTTTAGTGAAATCCTCTCAAAACGCAGATATCAGGACTAATGCAGGGTTATGGTTTGGTGCCAGCCGATTGTAGAGTCTGGACTCAGGAAACGCAAGGTGGCCCGGCTGATAATGTCGAATCTGCCCTGGAGAATTTACTCCAGTAAACACAGCGTGGCGTTCGGGGGATGTGGAATGAATGGGAGAAATGGGAGGTAATTAGACAGCTAAATAGACTGCATGCAAGAATAGCTTTGAAAATACACAGACAAGAAACATGGTAAAAAAAAGCCATTCATTGTGTGTGTTTTTTCACTCGCGCTGCTTGAGTTATGAAGTAATAAAACTTTTGGATGTTAAGATAAAGTTTGTGATTGGCAGGTGCGGAGGAGAGGAAGCTGAAGAGTAAGAAGGAGAAGATGAAGGAGCGTCGCGATCGCTGGCTCAACAGTGAGTAGGATTTTACAGAGACGGCGTCTGACACCAAGGGAACACTGGCTGCTATTTACATCGGGACTGTAGCAGGGACTGCAGCTGGGACTGTAGCAGGGACTGTAGCAGGGACTGTAGCGGGGACTGTAGCGGGGACTGTAGCGGGGACTGTAGCGGGGACTGTAGCGGGGACTGCAGCGGGGACTGAAGCAGGGGACTGTAGCGGGGACTGTAGCGGGGACTGTAGCGGGGACTGTAGCGGGGACTGTAGCGGGGACTGTAGCGGGGACTGTAGCGGAGACTGTAACGGGGCTGTAGCGGGGACTGTAGCGGGACTGTAGCGGGACTGTAGCACTGAGCGGGACTGTAGCAGGGACTGTAGCAGGGACTGTAGCGGGGACTGTAGCGGGGACTGTAGCAGGGGCTGTAGCAGGGACTGTAGCAGGGACTGTAGCAGGGGCTGAAGCACAGGGACATGAAATCAGAACCAAGTTGAGAATCAGTTCAGGACCATATGGAAAATCACATGGAATGATGACCGTGACCTATAACACTGTAGTTTATGACAGTACATTTAGTCATGCTTGTCTTATTTATGCCCTCGAGCTGGGTTATCTAATGACAACTCAGCTTTAGTGAGGCCATGTTCTGGCCACAGCTGCAGCTAAAATATTTTATATAATAGACACATTGCATATCATTACTTATCGGCCCAAAAAACAAATGCCCATTCCTGTGTCTGTTATAATTGTCTCTGCCATCTCCGAAGTCGCCCCCCCCCCCCCTTCTTCCTCCTCGTCATCCTCATCATTTTCCATAATTGCCATCAGCCTGAAACTATAGCCTTGTGCTGAGACAATCAATTCTCTGTAAGACAACACTATCGCTGTCTCTCGCTGCAGAGGACGCTAATTAGGCGCTAACACTTTGATCGGAAATACAAGCCTCTCCAACTGCAGGGTTTTCAGAAATTAAGACTTGTATCTTGTAAGAGGAGCGGCCATTTTGGAGTTTTAATTTGTTTATGCAACTTATTGCATGCAGAAGGAATGGTTGATCGCTGGGACTGTGGTCGTTTTGTACATAATTGGGCTAGGAATATTACTTGATGAAATAATTGTTAGTGGGGGCCCTACGAAACACTACAACACACATTGCTAGCTAGCTCCCTTATACTAATACGCAAGGATGAGCCTTGATGTGAGAAAGCCGGGTTGAAATAGGCTTTAAGAACATGTTTCTTTTAGATTTGCTATTCAATTCAATTCAATACTTTATTTCGGACACGAGTAAAAGGTCCATACCAGAAGACAAACAAAAAACACATTCTAAAAAAAGATAAAAGATAATTATGTCGCTAAAACTTTGAAGCCCTGGTCTCTGAGCTCTGTCTCTTAAGAACCAGACCTTTTTATGATATTATTTATAATTAAATGTAATCAATGACGGAACATATATCTATATTCTACTGCTGCCAACATTCTCATTGGTTGAAGATTTTATTTTCCAAAGTAACCGTTTAAATCAGTCTCTGATAGGCTCTTGCAACGGCTTGGGTTGATTGGTTGCAAAGGGCTGCCCCTTTACGAGGGCTTCTCTCGTAATTGCCTATGTCAGTAAATAATACGTTGGCTAGCTGCGAATTGGCAAATATCTATCTATCAAACAATGAACAGTCTGCTTTAAGATATGACACTTTCCTTTCATGTAGATCAGCCAATACTTTTAATAATATATTAACCATAAGCTCATATTCATTTTTTACCGTTATTTTAATACTGAGATTCTCTGCTGCTTAAATGCGATCCTCTATGTTATACTTGTATAAACAACGTTCTTTAAAACATGGTATCACACAAACAACTGCCATATGTACGACTTCTCCCTGCAGAGATCAGCTCCATAAAGCAGACCCGGGAGCAAGAGTTGGCCGCAGCGCGAAGGAAGAACACTCCAGTTGTGGGAGACCTGCGGCCGCTCGTCGACGCTCTACCAGAACTAAGCCAGCTGCTGACGCCCAACAAGCTAACGGCTAATGACGGCAGCAAAGCGAGCCGCAAGAAGAGCAGGAAGAACAGCAGGTGAGGCGCAGTCCACCAGAGTCTCAATAACCCTCAATAAAACTGCTATTATTTATTGCAGAAGCACTCTCGTGATTTAGGGCTATACAAGAATGAATTAAATTGTATTGATTACAAAAGCAGTCGTTTCGGAGGACTTTACAAAGTTGTAGATTCGCCAACAACAGATCAAATACTCAAACAAAATTATATAATAACAAACACATAGGAGCCATTGGTCCATAGGGAGCGGGATGACCAATGTCCCGGGTCATAACTGTCCTTGGACAAATCCACAGACAAGGAGGTCAAAGACAACGCAGTTTTCAACCTTTTTAACAAACAAAAGCCTCTAAAGCAGGGGTCTCAAACCGGTTCCAGAAAGGGCCATGTGGCTACAGGTTTTACTTCCAACAGTTCCAAACTGAGCAGGAGCACAGATGACTCCACCCATTTCCTTAGGTGAGTCCAGTTTTAAACTGAAGATTGGAGGAAATGGGGGGAGTCCTCTGTGTCAAACTCATTCCTAATGGGGCTGGTTCTATCAAGGCTGAGCTGGGACTAAAGTGTCCTAACTGACCCTGATTGGCCAGAGTGCTGATGGACGTTACCAAGATGTAGAGTCGAGTCGAGTCGAGTCGAGTCCCATGGGAGCTGTTCAGGAAGAACCCAAAATCATTATCTTATTCTTTGAGAATATTATAGCCTCTCTATTATGAGATACATTAAAATCCTTCACATTAAAAAACCTGCAGATAAAAATCTGCAAACAATCTTCATCTTTGTCCGTTGTATGTCTTTGTAAAAATGACTTTTTGTTAGAGTATTGTTATTTGTAACGATACTTTTCTGTGTATGTCTTCTAATAGTTGAGAAACTTTTACTTGTCAGTCAGATCTCGTGCTCCTGTGTTTGGGAGAGACTTGAAGCTCTTGTCATTTCAATGCGTTTGCTTCACCACTGCATGAAAAGTTAGATTTTCGTCACCCTAAACTGCAGGAAATCACGCTCTTTTTCGGGTATCTCAGGCAGTTTTCCAAAGGCGCAGTTAGGGTGCCCTGTCCTCCAAACTGCCGTATCCGTACCATGCTAATGTCCCTACTTTGCATATGAATGCAGCGAAACACTGCGGCCGCCGAGCGCTAATGGCCCTAATTAGCATATGAATGCAGCGGCTGGCCAGGCTGCTATTCAGCATTGGTGAATACCACTACTTTCAAACTCGTGATTGGCTGAAAAATCACACGTGGCCAGCCCACGTGGGATTACTCCCCATTGGTAGCTTACTCCCCATTGGATGAAATCACTACTTTCAAATAAGTATAATCTCTCGTGATTGGCTAGCAGATCTGTCACTATTGGTCACCCTGCCTCATAATTAATGTAATAATATTTATATAAATATTCGTATTATTTATAGAAGAAATGAAAATTTTCCAGGAATATGTTCATACAAAGAAAGCTTTATTAAAACACACACACACACACACACACAGCTTTATGCTCACACATAGGTAATTAAAAAATTACAACTCTGAACTGTCCAATAGCCTCCTCGGGGTTGTAATTTGGCAGCGTTCTAGATAGACGCTTAATGTGCGTGGCTCTTTACTTCCGTGCCGCCTCTAACCGGGACTGCAGCTTGACAGAGTTCAGAAAACTCCGGCTTTCGAAAAGACTGCGACCGCACAATCCATCCAGAGACACCGTCCACAACGCCTTCTTCATTGGACATTAGGTCTACCGTGGCGGACTTTCAGAGTTCCACTTTGTCACTTTCTAGCACACTCAGTCTCGATTCCAGCAGCTGAAAGAATCAGTAAATATTATTAGCCAAATCAAATCCTTTTTCCCATCTAAACATAGTGTCTAAAGCAGACCTGGAGATTCTTATCCATGCATTTGTCTCCAGTAGGTTAGACTACTGTAACAACAGCTGCATTCAAAATGCAGCAGCTCAAGTCCTGACCAGAACCAGGAAGTACGATGGTAAGGCAAGTTTATTTGTCTAGCACAATTCATACACAATGCAACTCGAAGTGCTGAGCAAAATAAGAAAGCATTAAAATAAATAATCCCAGTACATTAACAAAGATAAATATAAAATACCTCAGTTGTAGCACAGCTAAAGTGACAGCTCCTCTCTGACAATGTTTAAAACCAGGTTAAAGGGAGAAACAGTAAAACACTTACACACAATGTCGTCTTTATCAACATGGTGGAAATGTGGACTTATTGTTCACATTGTATTGCAGATATTGTGTTAAGCAAATAGGAGGTCACCGTCTCATTACGAGGCGAGATTAGTCTGAAAACAAAGTGTACAGTTATGATTGGTATCTATACATATCCATTACCGACACAAAACATGTAGGTAAACCAAATTCAATTTCCATGGATACATTAACAATACTTACATAACCTTTTTGAGAAAATTGATCCTTCAATGAAAAAAGTGTGATAATTCTAAGAGCATTGCTTTTTTTGTTTTCGGGAAGGCATTTGTCTAAGGAAAGAAAAACAGTCATGGTCAAGGGACTTCATGGTTACATAAAAAGGCTAAATTAATAGTATCTACAAGTACATATTTTCACGGGGACCTAACCAAGAGATAATCTACAGGAGAACATCTACCTAGGTCATTTATAAAAGAGATCAGTACTATTTATCTTACAATGGGGAATCAATAACAGTGGTGAGAGAAACTGAATTGTTACGAGATTATTGTGAAAGGTCTTTCAAGTGATTTTCATTTTATTTTGAGTAAATATCCTTCCACTTGTAAGAAGGAACTTTTGAGTATTAACTGAGGGATACAACATACCCATGTGTTTCACTCATGTCACTGACGAGAAGGTCGACAAGTTGTCTTCGAGAGCGGAGATCTCACAGAATTATAATCTTTAAGGATCTCTCGGTCACCAGGGTTTTCCTGCAGTTCCACCATCTACAAACACGTGGAAAATGTAAAATGACAATCTACAATTGTACCAAAAATCTTAGGATACAAAATGCAGCAGGACCTCTTTTGCTGTGTACCTTTCTCCTTTCTCCATCTCCTCTGCTGTACATATGTGCATTTCAACACCAAACACAATCATATGTCATTTCTTTTTGTTATTGCTTTATGAACTTACACAGGAATCGAGGTGCCGGACAATCTTGGAAAGCTTAGCGCCAGCAGCCCCCCTTTTGGCCTTAAAGAGCTTGATGAACTGTGTCGTTAGGAAATCCAATGCTTCAACGAAATCATTGCCCAGTTTGGAGCTGGTGATCTGGTTAAATTCTGCCAGGACCTAAAAAAAAACAACATAAAACACTTCAAGTTAAATGCATAGATGTAAAAAATATGTACACACCTGTCTCTCTGTATGAAGTGCTGGCCAGCGCGCTTTGACATTTTCCACAGGTATAGGGCAGAATTGACTATTTCTTGTTGTCGGACTGCAACACGCTGTAAGCAAAAAAAGAATAATCAATATATATAAAACAATATCACATGATTTTTGCTCAAATGTGTTTAAAGGAGGTCTAGATTCACTCAATAACATTATTAAGCAATGGACTTAATAAAAAAAAACAAAAAAAATGAACAGAAAGACAACAGTGACAAATGAGATGAAAAAGTACAGTAATAAAAGTGAAAGTCTTAGCGCTCAAACAAAGACAGGAACAGTGCAAAACAAATGATATATGTTAGATATTCCACAGAACTCTAGTCCACAGTCTCCTGTATATCAGGCTCTGCCATGAGCCCAAACTGCTTTTCCTTCGGTTCTTTCGAAGCAGTCTGCTCTGTGCGCCTCGTCCCTGCTCCTGCAGCAGTTCCATGCTTTACAGAAAGTTATCACACACGGAGCAATCACATATATATGTGATATATATATCACATATATATGTGATTCCTAGCTTCCTAGCGGCAGCGGCCCGCGTAGTTAGGGCCGGGAATATGGCTCTGAACATGGCTACAGTTAGCTACTAACAGCTCCATTCACCACTGTCCTCAGTAAACTCCCGGAGGCCGGACAGAGCGCTCTCAGGCCTCCGGGAGAACGGCTCTGAACACGGCCACAGTCACTGCATTCACCGCTGAGCTGGTCGAACACACGAGTTTTATAAGATAATATAGTCGAATGTATACTCGTTCTTAACACACTTCTTTAGCTTTATACCTTTATAACAATGAACAACGTGTCTTAACATTTACCGTACATTCAAAAGAGTCCTCTCTTCACGTTCCAGACCGCACCGTCGACTTGAGGCAAAGTATTTCGTTGCGTTTTGCGCATGCGCGAAATGCGCATTCAGTTTGTGAAGTCCCCATGTTTTGGTTGTGTAAAGAGAGTGATGATAACACCAACAACCGTTTGTGTATATACTGGTCAAAGTGCTCGTGGGTCCTCCGGTATGATACTCCGTCTGGTTGGGAGGCCACCAGCAGACTGAAGTCGTCTGCCAATGATTTGTGTCTGAAGGTCAGGAATGTAGTTGTAATCCTTTGCTTCTTTGACAGTGTGTACCCGATACTGTTTCGATTTTTTGCTGTACAGTCTCTTTAGGCTACAAGATAAGTAATTTCACGTTAGAAGACAACTATATTTATGACTTGTCAATAGGAAGTAGTGAATGATACTTACGACACTTGGCCTTTGCTGTACACATGTGCCGGACGGCTGTTGTGGTGATTGTAGTCCAAAGCTGCGAGAAGTGTTCTTGCTTCATAAACAAAAAATGAAAAAGCAAACCGCTTTCCGGCATACATCAGAATATGGTTTTGGAATGATTCCAGCTGTGAGGTGGTCCTGCAGGGAAAGTAAGTAGGAAATAGAAGAAACACAAATCATTCAAAAAAACAAAAACTGATCTCTTACCGAAATGTGAGGAACTTCTCCACATCCTTCAGCCATCTGCGGTTCAGCACGATCTGTGACAGTGCCACATGTGCTTTAGAGCCAGTTGGTACAGGCTCTTTAGTGCCATCATCCCCCAAAGGACCATGAAGGCATCTACCCAGGTCCCACTCAT